ATTAAAAAATATTAATTTCTATAAATTAATAATTTTTAAAAATTTAAATTGTAATTAATTATATTAAACTTATATTAAATAAAGAGTGTCTGAAAAAGAGTATTCAAAAAATTTCGGAAAATCCGCTCCCCAGGCCACCCCCGGTGGACCTTTCCCCCAGCCCGAATTCAAAAAGTAGATTCTTACGTGTCGATGGATAATTGGTTGTTGTGTCGTCATCAATTAATACATTGTCTTAAATACCCTTGAAGGGCCTTCTCAAAAAGACAGAGCACTAGCTTCCATCCAGTAGGAAACTGACACGTCAGTAGGGATGTGAATATGAGCCGAGTGTCTATGCAACCGGGAACCGGCGGCGGTCAGGTAAGTAAATAAAATAATTGTTATTTTTGTATTTTAAAATTTTAAACTAATTTTTTTAAATAAACAAATATTTTTTATACTTTAATTCTGCCATTATCTCTTTATTTTAATTATATATTCTATCAAGCAAAATCTCTATTTATTTTTTTTAAAACTAATTTAGAAAAAAAAACTTATTAATGTGATTACTTGTAAAAATTTTCTAATTAAAAATAAATTTTCATAATTAGTAAAATTAAACTATTACTTTTTTTAAGTTTCTAATTAAAAGTTTTTAAAAGATATTCAATAAAAAGCTTTTAAAAAATAGTAGCCCTTAATTAGTAAAAAAAAACTTATATCTTTAATGAAAATAATTTTAAAATTTTATATCTCTATATTGTATGAAATCTCCATAATAATCATTAACATTCATTTTGCAGGTAATTTTAAATAGAAGTACTACATTTTTATATGAGATATGATTTACCCTTAAAATTATTTTTTACTTTACAATTAATTTTAATTGAATAATTTTGTTTGATCAAACAAACTCATAATTGTCACTATAACATATAAAAGTATTATTTAAAATTACATTTAAAAATTAAAAAATATAAATGAACAAAAATATAACCAATTAAAATTTAAAATTAACAAAATAATTATTGGGTTCAAATTTTAAAATTATAACCAGCTAAAACAAAAAGTAGATGCCATTTTGTGTGGTTGTAGTTTTAAATTTTAAAATTTAAGTTTGAATTTTTATGCTAACGATCTAGATAATTCAATAGTTATTTTATTATATTGAAAATAAGAGATTATGAGTTTAAGTCGTATAGTATGCGAATGAGGTGAGATAAGAGATGAGAGATGATTACTTTCTATTATGCAACCAAAATTAAAAAAAAAGTTTTAATTTTTATAAATTTTACAATTTTAAACTAAAAACTTGTTCACTTCACATGTTTTTTGCCTTGTATTATTATGATTATAAAATAAATAAGAATAAAAAAAGGTTTTAATACTATTAAAGAAGTAAATATTTTTAGTTGTTAATGTTAAAATTTATTTTCAATAAATTTTTTATTTTTATAAAATAAATAAGAATAAAAAAAGGTTTTAATCCTATTAAAGAAGAAAATATTTTTAGTTATTAATGTTAAATTTTATTTTAAATAAATTTTTTATTTTGATTTTTAGTAATTAATAAATTTATAAAAATTAAAGTAAAAAATTCATAACTATAACCCTTATATTGCAATTAAGCTGTATCCTTATCAATTACTCTACCTCAACCCATGAAGTGTCATTTCTTTACTACTCTCTCTGTCATGTAGGAATTACATGCTTAATTAAATTTCCTTTCTTTACTATTTTTAATTTTAAATTATATTATAAAAAATAATTTT